CTTGTCCATTCATCAACAAATAAGGCAGATGAAGTGTGTCATTTACTGTATATTGGTGACCACAATCCTAACCATCATTACAAATGTCTTCAGGACAGATTTCAATACCCTGTTGTATTGCTTATGATCACATCAATTACATTTTTCACAAAAAAATTCTGTGACTCAGAACCTCACCCGGTTTGTCCAAGATGATGGACAACAGACCAAATACCTCTCTTCCACCAATAGCCTATCCCCTATATTGCACACTTATCTTTGCTCCGCGTTCCCGCGGCTGTGTATGCATGTCCATAGATGTATACATTAGATGTCCCCTACCCTGTTGTTGTCTATTGGAAGGAATGCGTCAATAGAGCCGCCATTTTAGTACAGGGTAGCACTCCTTTGAAAGAGAGGGTGCTCGCTGCAGAGCCATTTGAGGAGAGCTGAGCTCCAGCGAGGGGGAGCATGAGCTGTCGCTTCTCCTCCTGTAAGCTGTTTTAATGCGTACACCAACCCCAACCCTAACCCTACCCCCAGTGACATCACTCGTAGAAGAAGTGCAAAAAAGGTGGAGCTCAAGCTCAAGCTCCCCCTCGCTGGAGCTCAGCTCTCCTCAAATGGCTCTGCAGCGAGCACCACTTGCTTTGAAATGAATGCCGGACCAAGCTGCAGTGGAAGGACTGTGGCCATCCAGAGCCAGAGATATACACATATACACATATATCTATAATCAGGAGTTTTCCCGTAGGTCAGTATGCATTTTTTTTTTAATTACAAAAATTATAATTTAAAATCACTTTTCTATATTGGTGGATAAATGATTGCACAGGCATTCCTGACAAAAAGCTTATGTCTGTGTGTATTGAAATGTACTATTCACCCTCCCTGTTAGATTTGATCTAATCCGTGTCTTGAAACACACCCCCTCTACTGCTTTTATTTCTCATACTGACGAAGGGAGCAATTCGTTTGTGAATGAATCTGTGTTATAAACAACTCCTTCACTAACTGGCAATAATAAGTTTTTAGCACCGCAGCATCTCGTTGTCATATTTCCTTTTAATTGTTTGCTGATTTAATCAACAAAACTAGCATAAGCCGAGTATTTAGTTCGGGTTGGTGCTGCATTGCCGAGTCGAGTCGAGCTTCCAATCAAACGCTTTATGTAAAATCAACTACGCCCCCCGAACTTCTCAGCATGCGTTTGCTGTCATATCAACACAAATGGATGTAATAACGTTAACAAATATGAGGGTTTTATATATTCAATCGCGCCAGCTCCAGGCCGCAGCGCATAACTTACTCGCGGCGTCACGGGCTGATTCCGGCTCGCATGCGGCAGCGCCTGCTCGCTCGGCCGCCGCATCTGGCTCGATTGACTCGGGCTGGAATTGGGTAGTGAGTCCAGGCATCCGGAGTAGGTCCAGCAGAGGTAACATTAGTCAGTCTGAGCTCTAAGAGATAAGTCTCCGGCAGGCGAGAATCTAGCCGGAACTGTGTTTTGCTATCTGGGTGGCTAGGCGTGTATCAGCAAACTAATAAAGCCCGAAAAAAGCCCTGAACTTAGCTTCAACTTAGTTCCACCAGGATCATGTATGTCAGAAACTATAGTTTACTGCTGAACTCATTTTGTCATAGTAAAATAACACAGAAATCGAATAATAACATTTCAGTCTACTTCAGTCTCCTGCCGAAGCTCAGACGCCGCGCTTTGAGAAACTGTCAATCACAGCTGTCAATCACGATGACACGCCCAGCATTAAATTACTGCTAAAAACAAACTGTTTACAAAAATGAAGATCTGCACCTATTTCAGCACAATAACCAGTGCCTTAATCGACCAGAACTATCTTTCGGGACATTTTATTGCAAGTGTAATATTTTTTTTTATTTGGGCTCAAGTCTCCTTCATTAACACGGAGGAGGCGGGCTTTATGACTTGTACTGCAGCCAGCCCCCAGGGGGCGATCTAACGGCCGAAACCTTCACTCAAACGTAGGCTTGCGGCACACTTGGTCTTGACTAGTGCGGTTGAATGACATGTGTCCTGGGAGCACTGTACAAATGTGGCGGCGGTATTAGCCCCTTTCACACATACAGACCTTTCCGGAAAATTACCGGCAATTTTCCGGAAAGGTTGTATGTGTGAACAGGTCCTTTTTGAAAATACCGGTAAATTCGTTCTGGCTATTTTCCGTAAAGAGAAGTTGTAACATTACCGGCAATTTGCCGGAATGCTGCGCTGTGTGAATGCAGAAGGAAGATTCCCGTAATAAGCGCGTGCACGTCTAGAACGTGCTGACGTGAGACGTCTGCTTTAGCCAATCACAACAGTCAGACGCATTTACGTCCGCGCGGTTTGTGAGGATAAAAGCCTTTGAATATTTTTCCAGACACATTTAGCTGCTAGAAGTTAGTCAGATCACGTTTATATGTTCTTCTTAATGCCAACTGTGTAAATAATCATCGATGAGATGCTTTTGATAAGCCCTTGTTTGTTTACCTTCAAGCTTTGCGTGTGCCTGTGAAACAGCCTATGAGCGCCTGCACACGCACATATTATGAACATCTCGAAATGCGAAAGTGATCCTGCGAAAGTTGTTCACAATACTGATCATCCACAGAGTTTGTAATTTAGTCAAATGTTTACAAATACAAGCGCAGCCGTTTAAAGCTCATTTGTGGTGAATGATGTCAGAATTTACCGGTATTTTGGAATGGATGTGTGAATGCTCTTTTCCGGAAAATTTCCGTAACGTCCTCGCCTGTGTGAACAGCGCTTTTTTGAATATACCGGTAAAGTCGTTCCGGAAATTTTCCAGATATTTACCGGTATCACTGTGTGAAAGGGGCTATTGACGCATGCTCAGGGTCCCTTTGCGATATCTAGTGTATATATCTATGATGCATGTCTAGGGCATCCAGACAAAAAAAAGGTCGCCTCATACATAGTCCAGATATAATAATACTAATAATAATAAATAAATAAATAAATATATATATATATATTTATTTATATTTATTAATAACAACAATAATAATAATAATAATAATAATAATAATAATAATTAACACACAAATAAAAAAGAAAACAAAATTGGTTGTGATCTCGACATAACAAAAAGTTCACGAGATAATTAAGTTGTGGTCATAACAAAACTACTTTTTGTTATATCGAGATCATGAGAAAACAACTCACATACTGTACTGAGCTGTGAGCTGCACACGCACCTTCCTGCATTTGATGAGGTGGTAGGGGAACCGGCAGGCTCGGATCAGATGATGTGGATCATATGGGCACAGCAGCAGTTTATCAGGGTTGCAGAAATCTGTGAAACACGTGACAATTATTTCAGCTGCAAAACCAATGTCGCCAGTATAACATTACTATCGGTGCCTCAAAGGCCGCGCCTGTTTGCGATTTTACCTTGAGCTTCTTCCCATCGTGGAGCTTTAACTGCCATCTCATGTTTTCTTTTTGCCTTCGACATCTCAGCCGCACTTCCCAGCTGTTTTAAATGTTAAAAGCGCACAGTCATTATTAGCAAAACACCTGCAAGTCGCGAGGCTCATCAAAACTTACCAGTAATGAGATATAATGCTAAATAGCTACAAGGTTGTGTTTTATTGTGTTGGTAGTTGATATTTACATGTATATTACACAGACAGCCCCACGACAGTAACTTACAAAGACAGGACGTTTTGTTGAGCCGCTTCAATCAAAGGTAAAAGCATCTAATGAAGTTTACATTATTCGTCCACTTGAGGCGCTAAAGCGCACCGCACCAGTAACAGGAAGCTTTACTGAAACTTTAGTTTTTTAAATTAAAAACAGGGTAACATAAATAACAACAAAAATAAGCTTTTTTGTTGGACTGAAACATGTTAAAGTAACACCATGTTTTTATTTTTAATTTATTAACTATGCTTGAACAATAACAGACGCATTACTACTTTTTAGAATTACACAAAAGACTGAGATAACACTCATATTACATACATTCACAGTCTTTCCATCCTTTATTCATTTATTTATTTTCTTTTCGGCTTAGTCCTTTTATTAATCTGGGGTCGCCACAGCGAAATGAACTGCCAACTTATCCAGCATAGATTTTATGCAGCGGATGCCCTTCCAGTCGTAGCCCATCACAGGAAACAACCAAACACTCATTTACACACATACACTACAGACATTTGAGCACCCAGGGGAAACCCATGCGAATGCGGGGAGAACATGCAGACTCCACACAGAAATGCCAACTGACCCAGCTGAAGCTTGAACCAGCGACCTTCTTGCTGTGAAGCAATACTGCGCCAACAAGTGGTTTAATATTTCCATCCTCATTAATAATAATAATACTACATATATGAATAAATAAAATGACAAAATAAATAGAATAAAAAAATAACAAAATAAATGATAAAGAAAAATCGTAGCAAGGGAGCTGAAGTTAACATTAATCTTAACAGGTCCTGGAAAACAACACTGTCTACACAATCTCTCAATAGTTAGTTTGAGCATTATCAGTAAAGTTAACATATTCTTTTTTTTTTTAAGATCAATTATTTTGGGATTTATCATTGAATGTTTTATTTGTTTCTTTACTAGGTCAAGTATTTGCAAGGGTATATTCTTGATTATTTTATCATATTTTTGGAGAACAGCTTAAGAAAGCATCATAACTCATCATATTCAAGTAATGTCAATGCGTTTGTGGTATTAATGTGTTTTGTGGTAGTAATTCCTGCTGTTACTTTAAAAAAGAAGAAATTGATATATTTATTTATTTATTTAATCATATTCTGTTGACTAAATGTTTATACAAGATGTAGCCATCTGTTTTTTAAAGATTTTTCTTGAAGATTTTAAACTGTATGTCTCCTAATCTTCTAACAAGAAAGTTGTAAAAGCTTTGAATCTGTTTAAAAGATACATTACTGTCTTGGTCCCTGTTATGTGATATAATGTAATTTTGTTACATTTGTTTATTTAACCTTCTTTTTACATCCAACAGATGTGGCAAAAGAAATTTCAGGTTCAGTTCAAAGTAAGCTATCTGTCTGTCTGTTTGTTCGTCCATCCGTCCGTTTGTCTGTTGGTCTGTCTGTCCTTTTTCTATCTTTCTGTGCATCTATTCTTGCAATCTGTCTTTTTGCTCACAATTAATTCAGTCATTCATTCAACTAGAGCAAATAAGATAAAGAAAATTGGGCATTTTTTAAAATATGTATGTGCAATAAGTCATTTATTAATAGATGATTTTTATATCCAAATCATGTGAACGCTGTTGCAATTACAACAGTTGCAGATGTGCCTCCCACTTGTTAAGGGTCCGAAAGTAATTGGACAAAATAATAATCATGAATCCAACTTTCACTTTTTAATACTTGGTTGCTAATCCTTTGCAGTCAACTAAAGCCTGAAATCTGGAATGCATACACATCACCAGATGCTAGGTTTCATTTCTGTTGGTGCCCTACCAGGCTTCTATAGCAGTCTTCAGTTTCTGCTTGTTCTTGGGACATTTTCCCTTCAGTTTTGTCTTTAGCAAGTGAAATGCATGCTCAATCGGATTCAGGTCAGGTGATTGACTTGGTCAGTGCATAACATGCCATTTCTTTCCCTTCAAAAACTCTTTGGTTGCTTTCGCAGTATGCTTTGGGTCATTTTCCATTTGCGCTATGAAGTGCTGTCTGATGAGTTCTGAAGTATTTGCTTAATACGAGCAGAAAATATTGCATGGAACACTTTAGAATTCAACCTGCTGCTTTTGTCAGCAGTTGACAGTCATACATGCCGATGCCATGACACTACTACCACCATGCCTTTCCTTCTTTATACTCTTCTCTTCCCATCACTCGGGTATAAGTTGATCTTGATCTCATCTGTCTATAGGATATTGTTCGAGCACTGTGAAAGCTTTTTTAGAACTCTAAAAAAGTGTTGGTGTTGTCTTCTCTTGATTGTTGACTCTAATACACATACACTCACCTCCTGAAGAGTGTTCTTGATCTGGCCATCTGTTGTGAAGGGAAATAATTATTCAGTCGTGTTCCACAGTTGTTTCGGTGGTCTTCCGGGTCTCTTGGTGTTGCTGCGCTCACTGGTGGACTCTTTCTTTTTAAGAATGTTCCACACACATGTTTTGGCCACGCCTGATGTTTTTGCTATCTCTCTGACGAGTTTCTTTAGTTTCTTCAGCATAATGATGGCTTGCTTGACTAAAAGTGACAGCACTTTGGATCTCATCTTAAGAGTTGACAGTAACAGATTCCAAATGCAAATAGCATGCTTGGAATGAACTCTGGACCTTTTATCTAGATATCTAGAAGCCGTATAAGTTTGGACCCTTAACAAGTGGTAAGCACAATGATGTTACTCCTGATTTGGATTTAAATACCCTCAAATTAAGACTGACAGTCTGCAGTTAAAGCACATCTTGTTCATTTCATTTCAAATCGATTGTGTTGGTGTATAGAGCCTATATATATATATATATATATATATAGTGTGTAACCCAACTCCAAAACTATTTACTTGAAATGGACACAGACATGGTCACGTTCCTATACAACTTGTCCAAGACTTATGCTTTTAATGTAAACCTTTACTCCCTCTTTGTGTATAAAGAGGTGTTTTGCAACAAGTCTCTTGCTCATGTATTAATATTATGGTTTTAATACTCCTGCAATCAATGTTTAACTCTACCACAGCTAAACAAGATCATAGATGTTTGATATCCCTGCATAGGTAATTTGATGTATGAATGATCATTTACATTTTATGTTAATTCATTCATTCATTCATTCATTTTCTTGTCGGCTTAGTCCCTTTATTAATCTGGGGTCGCCACAGCGGAATCAACCGCCAACTTATTCAGCAAGTTTTTATGCAGTGGATGCCCTTCCAGCCGCAACCCATCTCTGGGAAACATCCACACACATTCACACACACACACACACACACACACACACACACACACACACACACACACACACACACACACACACACACACTCATACACTACGGACAATTTAGCCTACCCAATTCACCTGTACCGCATGTCTTTGGACTGTGGGGAAACTGGAGCACCCGGAGAAAACCCATGTGAATGCAGGGAGAACATGCAAACTCCACACAGAAACGCCAACTGAGCCGAGGCTCGAACCAGCGACCCAGTGACCTTCTTGCTGTGAGGCGACATCACTACCTACTGCGCCACAGCTTTGCCATGTTAATTCATGTTAAAATTTTAAGAAACTTTAAACATTTCCGCAGTAGCACTCACCCAGAATGCATATGCAAATCACCACAATTTGGAACAAAGTACTATAAAATATGCCTAGGAGGGGTTCTTATTAGTCAACTCGGCTCCTGAGGGTGGTACAAAGCCTTCCTTAGGGTTAAACAAATTATTTTTGTTTAGCTTGTTTGGTCTTACAAAATCTGTGTTTTTTTCCATCATTACACTCTCCCAAACTCTTATTTTTCTTCCTTAACTCTTCTCTACACTTGTCTGGATGTGTGTTTTTGTTAGATGTTAGTTTCTATTAGATTATTCAATAAAGTTTAGCTTTCTATAAAGAAAGGTGCCTGTGCATATTTATGAATCTAATGTCTTAATCTTCAGATGATTCATTTGTTCAGATGTCAATTCTTTTAAAGACCCGTTCAAATGAATCTTCAATTCACTTTGAGCTAATTCGCTACATACAGTATAATTAATATGTTTAAATTAATGTGTGATACGCTTATTTCTTTTCAGGCAAGAGTCATCAAACAGAAGTCAGCAATTTAAAACAGAAAGTCAGCCACGTATTGAGTGAGGCACAAGAGACTCAAAGAAATGAGGTTTCAGCGCTGATCATCAATCACCAGAAGGAGAAACAAAGAAATGACACAGAAGTGTCCCAGGACACCCCTCGTTTTTCTGTCTGCTCAGATAAGGAAGGCAGCAGTCCAGATGAACATCACGCTCTCCTCTCCTTCTTGAGCAGTCGTGAGCACCAGCCAGAGTTCACCCTCTTATACAGAGCTTACCCAGAATTCCTCATGACACATTTTGAGGGTCACTCTGATGAAGAGGATATAGTAACGTATTTAGGCATAGCTCGAGAACTGGCACGGAAGAAGCGTGTCTCATGGGCACAGAGCCGTATCTGTTTTCTTCTCGGACAGCTTTGTGCAGGGAGATCAAAGTTCTCTCAAGCTCGTGTTTATTATGAAGAAGCCTTAAATGTACCTCGGGATAGTTTCTCAGACATGCTTCTGCTCTCTGCCCTTTATTCCAACCTGGCGCTCATTTACTTGACACAGAAGAACCACGAGAAGTTCTTCGCTTTGTCAGAACGCTTTTCTGCTTTGTTAATGGCTGTCCCTGATTGTTTGTTTGGCTGTGAGGATCCTGAGGTGTTGAAGTATGTGCTGAAAAAAGCCGTCCTGGCCAAAAGTCAGCTCGCTGAGGCCCGAGCCTGTTTTCTTCTGGCAAAGCTCCACCTGAAGATTAAAGATGCTGTGAGTGTTGTCCCGTTCATTGAAAGGCTTTTAATCCTTGCCGATGAGCTTCCTGAAGTATGTGATGAGGCTATGTGCCATGTTTCCCTGGTGTTAGCGAGACTCTACAGTGAGCAGGGTTTACCTCGCCTGGCTGAAAGCTGTGCACGCCGGGCATCACTTCAGGTCAGTGCTACTTCTTAATAGTGCTTTAAGGAACTATTATAGGTGCATTTATAGAGGAAAACTGGATTACAGAACCAAACGTGTGTGCCTATAGGGACAAGGGGGTCACACTAAGGTCCAATGCAATTCTATTTTTGTACCCCTTCCCCTTGGCCCTTGAAACAGAGTGTGAGGCGTAAGGGCTTCAAAATTTACCCCCTAAGAAATGGGACAGCACTACAGCACCTGCACACGTCATCATGTCATCACAATCTCTTACTTTACATGAGATCAGTCGATCACGACTGCTGTAGGTAATCCAGTTGCATTACATTTTTTGTTATTTATCTCAAGGAAATCACTGAAGGCAACGATATCATGTTATAATAACGATATATTGTGGCAATGACCTCATAATTATACTGTGCATTTACACCGTGGCCATATTCATCTGTGTAAACATGAAAACAACATTAACATTATACCAGACACTGTAAAAAGGTCATTTCCTGTCACTACATTTTACTGACAGGGTATTTGAGTGGCAGAATGTTGTGGGACTTCTATACAGGAGTTATGATTATGGATTATAGTGAAATTTAGCGTTTTTTTATTTCAGCGTTTTTTTAAAGCATGACGGTAAAACATGAACATGGTTATGAATATATTAAAACGGGCTTGTTTGTTGTAAATACCAGTAATAATGATAAAAAAATACTATTTTGTTGTAAATAATTTTCTCCTGACCTCCGTGTGCAGCCATGCTGCCTTTGTAGATGGCTGAAGATTTTCTTACCCCCTTGGTTTCGAGTGTGGTCCTGAAAAATCTCAGTTTCAAGAGCTAGCTTGCCCTACACGTTCAAGCTAAAGAGAATTAGGACACCCCTACTCTTTCACTAGTGCGCCAAAATGAGGGGTAGGGGTAAGGAGAAAGGCTAAGGGGTAGAACTGGGATTGGGCATTTATGTTGATTTTACTAAAAGTTTTGTTGTAAAATTTGTTTCTTAAATGTTGCATATTTCTTGTACTTTAGTTGTTAAGTCCAAAACATTCACAAATGTGGATGGTAACCAAAATTTTCAAAAAATACTGGAGGGAAAAGATTGAAGTCAAAGTTTGATGTGACTATTTTTAGTCTCATAAGGGACATTTTACAGCATCCATAATGTAGATTTTATTTAGTTTAACAACAAAACATCAATAAAAAGCGCTATACCGCCTAGCTTTTTTTTACTGAGCTAAAGTTGGTTTTATATTCACATTGGGTCATTTTTGAACAATGACGACCTGTGACGCGCTCCTATATTGTTTACCATGCTACTCTGAATATTCACTCTGCAGTGTTGGCCAGTACAGTTGCTAGAAGTAGTGATGCTAACGCTACTAGCTTAACTATATTTCTCAGTAGCATGTCGGTAGTGTCGCTAATTTTATTTTTTTTGGTCAAGTAGAGCAGTAGCGTCCACACAAGCTACATTTACCAATTACGGATCAAAAAGTGATGGCACCAACATTCACAGAGCTGTGAGGCCGGTGTCTAGCCAATGAAAATAAATCCATATGATGCGAGAATGACGACTTCTTCTTCTTCCTGTTTTATAGTGTTTGACAACAAAGGCCCCTTTAAACTATATTTTTTTCGATAGTCTACAGAACAAACCATCGTTTTACCATAACTTGCCTAACTACCCTAACCTGCCTAGTTAACCTAATAAACCTAGTTAATCCTTTAAATGTCACTTTAAGCTATATAGCTGTATAGCTTAAGTGTCTTGAAAAATATCCAGTAAATAGTTAATATTATTTACTGTCATCATAGCAAAGATAAAAGAAATCAGTTATTAGAAATGAGTCATTAAAACTATTATGTTTATAAATGTGTGTGTGTGTATACACCTGGTTTTATTGGATTTTTTTGTTTTAGCTGTTATATCCTATAATTTGTTTCTGTTTAGTACAGCATATTATTGACACTAAATAACTGAATTATTCTGCCTCATATGTTTCTTTGACAGTTTCATTGATCATTAAGATATGATTAACTTGCATTTAAGTTGCTTCGATTTAAAAATCAAAATTGTAAAAATAGCTTAGATGTAGCTAATATACTTTTGCCATGTAGCTTTTAACTTATCTTGCTACATTTCCCAGGGGGTAGCTTTTTGTGTAGTTAATCTACATTTTAAGTAAGGTAGCTAGCTTAGCTCACTACATTTTACAAGTAGCTTGCCTTACACTGTCCTTTGAATTAGCATGTAGCCTAAGGATGGCTTCGTAATAAGTGTAATTCTTGCAACCTGTCAACCAACCACTAAGCATACAGTAGGGCAGTGGTTCTTAAACTTTTTTCACCAAGTACCACCTCAGAAAAAATTGTCTCTCCAAGTACCACCATAATAACTAGTATTGATACAAGGTAGCGTAGTTGGCCAATTTAAGCAGCTACAGCATGTCATAGTCATATTCATATTTATAGAATTTTTGATACATTTTTAAATATATGTTGCATGTACATATGACATATTTGTAAAACTTTTTGAAATCTAAACATTAACTGGTGTGTAGATTGGTAGGGGACCCTTTTTTCTCAGAGGATGTCAAGCTGACAAAACATTGCTGCACAAGTTTTATTTATGGAGAAAATTAAAAAGCACTGCTGTGTTTGGGTGTTCTGTGTTTATCCAAGATAATTAGTCTAACGAAATTATATTCCATATAAAATATGAAGCTGATCAGTTGGTTCTTGTCACTTGACTGGCGGTGCGACATTCTGAAAAGTTTAGATGTTTTAACAGGGCACACCTGGAATACGCAATCGCGTCGTGCCGCAGTTCTTACTCCTTTTGCTAGCCTGTAGGTAAAATTTTGGTGATCAAGTGACCTAGATGTAACAAGAGATTACGGTCATTTTTCAAAATAAAAGATTTTTCAAAATAAATGATAATTCTAACTGAGGTATTAAATAAAACAGAAATAATTAATGATTTTTTTTGCAGCCCGGTACTAATTGATCTATAGACTTGTGCCGGTCTGTGGCATTCCGAGGATTGGGGGCCACTGCTCTAGCGTGTATTTGCTCTGCAAGCACCACGCACCTCTTTCTCTCGTCCTGCGCCAATTGGATTGATTTTTAGCAGCTGATGACGCGATGCACTATAGTAAACATTCTTCAGCGCTTTGATCGTAGGCTTAATAGAACAGCCAATGCTGATCACATCTGTGTTATCATACGCATCAAATAGTTAAAATTTTATTCATTTTTTCTTTCATTACTCGGTGATTCCTCCATGTACCACTAGAAGTAAGCCCGTGTACCACAGTTTGAGAACCACTGCAGTAGGGGCTTTAGGGCTTTAAGCGTGTGAGAGAGAGGGAGAGATCAGTGATTCTTGCATGCATGAAAAATCGCACATTATGACAAGTTTTGCTAGCTATACAACTGAAATGTGCCAAATATGATACAGTTTTTCATTGGTAATTGTAGTGTTATAAACTACTGTAAAGTTTTCTAACTGGTGAATGACATGATCTAGTGGGTTTGTCTACTGTCATCTTTAATGTGTGCATTCATGATATCAGGAGGCGTGGCTTTGGACGACAGGGGAGGGGATGTATTTTCAAAGATTTTACGCTAACAGTTAGCATTTTTGGCGGATCACCTACTGCACCTTTAATATGCAGGATCCATGTGCCCTTGCAAAATAAAATATAAATCAAAAATATAATAATGCAAAATGCAAAAAAGTCATTACATTTCAGCACTAATTAATCAATTATTTTTCAACAATGAAAATGGCATAAAACAATTAATACAAGATGTTTTAGTAAAAAAATTGTAAATTAATTTACTAACCAATTAATTGCAACTAGTTTGATTATTAAAAAAAATATTATATAAGTTGAAATGATTTAGGCATCAACCCAATTTTATTTCACACAGTCACTATTTAACCTTAATAAATTACGTAGTAATATAAAATACAAAAGTCTTAATAAACTTTATCTGTAATATGCTTTTATCTGTTCTCCTCCATAGGTAGGAGTCACCGTGTCCCACTGTCTCTGTGGTGTTTCTTTATTACTGGAAAATGCTCCAGAGCTACATGGAGTGTCCATCCCAACACAAGTGGCTCCATTCCTGACCCGTGCTGCTGCTTTAGCCCCCCTGCACAATGATCCCACACTGGTTCACATCCACGCTCTGTGTTTGTCCTGGCTCTTCCACAGACACAACATGCCTGAAAGAGCTGTTCGCTACATGTGCGCCATCCTGGAACACTCTAGCATGTCCAGCATTGGCAAATCAGACGCCACCACTGCGTTCATCTGGCTGGCATGGCTGTACATCTGTAACCAGCAGCCTGGCACAGCTCTAGAAGTGCTGGATGCTGTGCTGGCATCACTGCCCGAACACTGCACTACTCATCTGGAAGGTGTGGTTTACAACATGCGGGCTATTTCATACAGACATTCAGCAGATATCCGTCAGGCCGCTGAGAGCTATCAAGCCGCGATTGAGATTTGTGAGGAGTTTGAGGATAGACATAACTGGGCTGTGGCGCTGGCCAATTTTGGATTCATGTGCTTGCAAGTCAAAGCTAAAAGGCTGGCAGAGGAGAACCTGTGTCAGTCAATGGAGCTTTTCTCTGGGCTTGAGGACGAAGGGCATGAACTCAGCTTTATTCTGGTGCTTCTCCAGTTGGGGAGACACTTTATTTCTCAGGGAAACAGCGAGAGTGGGAAGATCTACTATGAATGGGCCCTGTTGATCGCCACTTATATCGATAACATTGAGAGTAAGTATTTATCATAATTGTGGTAGTGAGTATGTGGTTATCATGATTAATCAGTTAATAGAACTGCTTGATTAAAGACATATGATGCAAAAATGACTTTTATTAGAGGTTAAATGCAGTTGTGTGGCAAGTGTGTGAATGTAGCTAGCATCTAATGGTAAACATTCATCAATTACATTTTTATATTAAGACTTGATACAAACAATCTGCAGAAACACTTTGATTGACATTCTCCCTTTCTAAATGTTATCAGAGGGGGAAAACCCCGCACATTAGTGACAGTCTCTTCCTCATTAGTATAAACAGCCCTGGGTGAGAAGCAGTGTCCTTCATTAAAATCAAATCACTTTTATTGTCACATCATTAGCAGCACGTGTACTATGATGAGTGAAAAGCTTAGGCGCTGGCTTCAGACAATGCAAAATACAACAACATACTCCCAAAAAACCAAACATTATACAATTAGCAATGCTAGATGTTTGAGTTTGTGTTACTCTATGTTAGAGTTTTTACCTAGATAATGTCAGCGACTAATGTCAAGTTCAGATTGCACGATTTTCAAGGTAGTGGTGTCACAGATGTCTTCACACTTTAAAATAGAAGAATCGCCGACACCACCGACGATATTGTCTCGGTCCACAAACTACATCTCAACCAAACACATGCAAGAAGTGACATGGAAACTACGCAAGATGATGTAGTATATCTTTTGTTTTTAACTACATAATGAGAAAGAAGCCTTTAGTTGGGTGGAAAATGTACTTATTTTGCTCACCTGGCCTTTGAAGGGAATTAGCTATTTCTCTTTAGACCCAGTTGTGGTATTGCTCAGATGACATGTCGGACAAGGGTGCGCATGCCAAATTTACACTAGTTTTTCCTTCATTTCTTGGGTGCAAATAGACCGAAAAGAAGCCCTGAACTTCTCCATCAACCTCCCGCTGGCCTGCAGGTATTAGTGGATGCTGCTTTCCCATTGGCTGTAGGTAAATGCCAATGTTATTTTCGGTCAAAACTCATTTTACATGACATGATTTGAATCGCCGGCAGGTACAAAATTTGCATGCCAAATAGTGTCAGCAATTCATTGGCGATTTTTTTTAGATCGCGTCTTTGATAGTTCACACTGTGATTGTTACTCACATGAATGAGTGCAGATTTGCCTGTGATTTCAGGCAATTGTCGTTGCTTTGTCAAAACCTGTCGGCAAGTCAAAATCAGGGCTAAAATCATGCAATCTGAACTTGGCATAAGAGGTATATAAGTATTGTTTTAGGATGCACAAATGAACATTAGTCATTTTACATTTTCACAGAGATAACATTAGTGCTGTTTTTTAATCTGCCCTGGTGCTGATGCATAGACATTTAGCTCTACCATATTCAGTGAAGAGCACAATCTCATTTGCATTTAAAGCAGCAGCCATCAAAACCTAAAAGCGGGTTATAACTCTTTCAAAGAGTTATAAACAATTATTTGTGTGATATTTTGAGCTGAAGCTTCACATACACACTCAAGGGATATCAGAGGTCTCACCTTATTTTGATGGTCTGTTTGTTGAGTTTAAGTTACATTGCATCTACATGCCAACTAATTCTAATTAGATTATAAGTAGACTGTTAGGTTGGGGCTGGGGTTAGTGAAAGTTGACATGTATTTGCAAAGCTTCTTATAGTCAGTTAAATGTCTGTTGAAGGAGCAGTAATAGCAGATATTAAGTAGACAGTCTACTAATACTGAAATGGACCATCAAAATAAAGTGTTACCATATCAGAGACTTATTGTACATCTTGTCAAAAAGAGCATAATAGCTCCCCTTTAAATAAAAATACATTATAAATTATTGGTGAGTTGGATTTTCTTAACTGATCATGTTTAATGCCAATGTGAAAGCATAAACGTTTGTTTTTGAAGTTAGATTACCAAAAAAATACACTTCTGTGACCCTTATTAACCCTTATTTTGTTAGAGACCAATTAGACTTTCATTCATCTTTCAGACATATATATATATATATATATATATATATATATATATATATATAAATTTGGCTGCACAAAGTTCATAAAGACATCATTAAAAGTGACGTCAGGTGAAATTTTTAGATTTGTGTGTGTGTGTGTGTGTGTGCGTGTGTGTGTGTGTGTGTGTGTGTGTGTGTGTGTGTGTGTGTGTGTGTGTGTGTGTGTGTGTGTGTGTGTGTGTGTGTGTGTGTGTGTGTGTGTGTGTGTGTGTGTGTGTGTGTGTGTGTGTGTGTGTGTTTAGTGTTCAGCTGTGTCTGCCAGCTCAGAGAAGTTGAAAAGAAAACATGCAGCTTGATTCTTGTGAACTGTCTGAGTGCATTTATGTATTTAATTAAAACAATATTATTATTTAAAACTTAACTTTTCTCAAATTGTTACTTATTTGTGTTTTTAATTTCTTCAGCCCCTCCTTTCCATCTGTCTATGTTCTAGTTTGTTCTTCTTTAGTAATGTATAGAGAAATATTGGAATTGTTTGCTGGTTGATGCACAAGTACCTTCATATTCTTCTTTATATGCCAACAGGCCAACTGCACACCACTCGTCACCTGTGTGAGCTTTATGAAGATGTGTGTCCAGATGAAGCCCAGTGCATCATCTATAATGAGCACCAGCTCAACCTCCTCCAGCGGATTGGAGACAAAAGTTCAGAAGCAGAGATCCTTGAGAAGATCAGCCAGCTCTACCTCAACCTGGCTACTGAGAAGTGAGACCTGAGGAAATTTTCAAATTAAAGGGAGAATTTAACCAAAAATTTTAATTTACCCACCCTCAAGTGGTTACAAACCTTTAAGTTTTTTTATTATTAAACATAAAATAAGATATTTTGAAGAAAACCTGTAAACAATTTTCAGGTAAACTACACCTTTAGAAGGTGGCGCAGTGGGTAGTGCTGTCGCCTCACAGCAAGAAGGTCACTGGTTCGAGCCTCGGATGGGTTAGGTGGCATTTCTGTGTGGAATTTGCATGTTCTTCTTGTGTTGGCGTGGGTTTCCTCCGGGTGCTCTGGTTTCCACTACAGTCCAAAGACATGCAGTATAGAGTATCGGTTAAGCTATATTGTCCAGAGTGTATGTGTGTGAATGGGTGTGTATGGGTGTTTCCCAGTACTGGGTTGCAGCTAAAAGGGCATCCACTGCGTAAAACATATGCTGGATAAGTTGGCGGTTCATTCCGCTGTGGCGATTCCAAAGTAATAAAGGAACTAAGCCAAAATGATTAATTTAGAAATTTAGACATTTCTCCTCATTTGTTCACCCACTTGTCGTTCCATTGGCTTTCTGTTTATTTTAGTCACCAAAACTGACCTTCAATATTCTTTAAAATATTGTTTGGGTTCTGAATGAGAATGAAAGTCATTACTATTTGGAAAAACCTGAGGAAGTTTAAAAAATGAGAGGACTTTAATAAATGGGTCAATTTTCCTTTCAATTCCTTCTGAGGTAAACAATAGAAACCATCATCGAAAATTCAAAGGGTTTTCGCTACAAATACTATTAAGCATTACTATCTATCACATTTTAACCAATAAAACCAGTACATTTTAATGTTCACTAGTGTGTTTTAAGATATTTTCAATTAGGATATACTAGTTTTAGCACAACAATGTGTGAAATCCCATTACTGTATAGAATGCCTAGGAAGTGTAGAGAATGCCTGATGGTTTTAGGCGAAGTATGAAATATCAGTTTTTGTTAAGATTTTGAATACTTTTCCTAGGCATTATATAGAATGATAAGTATCATTAGGCAAAGTGTCCGAAGAGCACAACAACAGACTTTATTTATCATTATATATCTTAAAGTGGAAGGAATACGTAATAAAGCATATGTGTTGACCAGAAAAACAATGACAGCAGAACTGAGATTAAAATGTTTGTTACAGTAGGTAAGACTTGAATGACACTTGTACAAATTGTACTTAATTTTTATTTTTTCACACAAAAACACACTTTGGTCACTTAAGGCACTTTGGTTTTGCGCATTCATTTTTTACGAATTAGTAAAGAAACTTGGCTGGATAATATACACTGACATTGTGAGAGTAATTATGGTGATAAAAGATTATTATTAAATTCAACTATATTGTCATCACACATGGCAACGAAATACAGTATAGGTCTAACCAGGAGTGCAGTCGCAGGAAGTGGAGGATATACGTATAAGTTAAAAAAGTGCTATTGCAGGAAAAACTATAGTAATATTTACAGATGGATGTACTATGAACATTATGTATTAGCTGTGAACAGAGATTAACAACAGATGAATATATGTACAGGTTGCTAATAATAAACAGAAGTGTGAAGTATTGTCTGTAATGTGGTTGTGTAACCTCGTATTGGCAATACGCTTTCTTACAATAGCATTCAACACTCAAGTGCTTTCATCGCCATCATCAAACAATGACCCAAGCGCCACCGCCAACATCATTAGCGGAAAAAATGATGGGGCTAGACCAGTTATATACTTTGCCGCATGGAAATGCTTAAGCAATGTTTAAATTAGCAATCATTTCATACTTCGACATTCGATTTTAGACATTCTTTAAATTTTTTAGACATTCCATAGAATGCGGAATTTTACACATTGCCAGTAACATGTTCACCAATAAATAGCAAAATATTACCAGTAAAGTAACACGGTACCAAAACCGTATTTATTTTACGTATAAAATCTGTTTTAATTCATTTCACAAATTCTATGATGGTTTCTTTCCTTTTATTTCAGCAGGGATTTTTCAGTTGCTAACATGTTGGTCTTGTTGTCTCACAGAGCTAACAGAGCTGCTTTAGATTACACCAAACGAAGTCTGGCCATCTTCATTGACTTGGGCAAGAAACGCAAAGAGGCTCATGCCTGGTTACGAGCGGGGAAGATTTACCACATCCTCCAACAGACAGAACTGGTGGACCTCTATGTTCAGGTGAAAGAGCCTTCATTAAGCTTTCCTTCATTGTGTTCACATGAGTTCCTCTCCATGGAACCATAGGCAGGGGCCACATGTTGAGCATAAACTCAAATAAAGATGTAAATTATGATTTAAGTGAACTGCGTATACTGTAGATCTGATTTATGGATAACTTGACAGCTCTACAATAATTACAAATTTTATAATATAGAAAATTCTAGTCCTTTTATTAATCCACAGCAGAATGAACCACGAAAATATAGAAAATTTACAAATTAATCTGTAAAATGTAAAGATGAAATATGCTTTTTTAAAAATACTTAAAAACCTCAAAATCAAACAAAAAGTGCTCAGGGGTAGCTTAAATAATGCATCGGTGTACTTTGGGTAAGGGATTCATCAGAATAAACAGCAAAAATCAGTCCAATGCACTCGAAACATTCACATGGCTCATCCATAAAAAACCAACGCGTTTCGACAAAGAGCTGCTTTCATCAGGGTAACAGTGATGAGGTGTATCTGCCCGACCTCTTTTCAACTCTGAAATGTGTATTAAAAACTATTATTTAGCTTTTTTGTTTTAGGTTTAAGTAATTTTTATACTGTAGCTTGAACAGATTTTCAGTTTTTCTTTGTTGCAGCTACATTTCAATGAATGAAAACCTTTTAAAAATATATCACTGATGCAGAGCTGTTGGCAAGTGTGAAATCCTAAAGCAATTATTCATTCAAAATGTAGTCAAATCTGTTATCATTTACTCACTTTTTACTTTTTCAACACCTGCACCACCTTCTGTCTTCTGTTTAATGCAGTTAATGTTTTGAAGAATGTTGATGACCATTGACATCAGTAAGAATTCCAGCATTCTTTATAATGTCTAGAAACTTAAAAAGAAACTTACAGTCTTGGAACACCTGATGAGCCAATCGGCTGTGTGAGTTAGCTTGTCAGAATTTTGCCTGCTGGAGACTCAGGTGCTGTGGCAGTGGAGACCCACTTCTCCGTTCCATATTCGGGAAACGAGGGTTACGTACATAACCAGGACGTTCCCCTTTATAAGGGAACTCCTATGTGTGTCTGTATAAACAGACTTGGGGAGACTGTATGGAAAGCGCCACAGCAACCAAAGCCCGTTGCGATCCTGATGTGCAGTTTGCCAAGCGTGAGCGCACCAAGAGCGCAATCTTCCAACGTCCCCTAGGCCCAACATATTACCATTACATGAGAATAAATCTTTAAAGTTTAATCGGGGGTCGTAAGTTTGCTTTTACCTAGCTAATATAGACTAGGGATTTTTGTAAATACGACAATACATTGGGAAACGTCAGTCCCTGCAGGGGGAGGACACAGCGGAGACCACCTGCTACCCAGAAGGGGAGACCTGATGGTAAAGGGGCATATGGACTAGCCCTAATGAGAGGGAGGGCTACATATGATAAGGGGGAACACACCGTGGTAATAATGCATATGGCATCACCAAGTGGGGATGCACATAGCTGGCACCGATCCTCAATATGCGTGTAGACCAAATGGGCGTACCAACCGCACACTGAGCCATGCATTCGACTCCTCCGCTGAGTCAATGCTGGGGCCCTCGGAGGAACTCTCGACTGAAAAGGGAAACTTACAAGCAGAGTAGAAAAAAGCGCACGCATCTCGGGGTTAGGGAGCATGGCGCAGCGAGCGTTTGTGACACCGAGCTTAATTCCACCCCCCCTCATTGATTAGGGTTACCCAATAACCAGGAGGAAACTGGCTCCACTCGAAGATTATAGAACCTCGCTAATGTGTTAGGTGTCGCCCAACCTACATCATCAGATATCTGTAAGAGAGGCGCTGCTTGATAACGTCCATGAGGAAGCGACACCTCTAGTAGAGTGCGCTCTCATGTTAGGAGGGCGCAGCTCGCCCTGACATTGATAAGCAAGGGCGATGGCATCAACTAACCAGTGGGGCAACCTCTGTTTTGATACGGCAATTCCCTTCTGCCGACCACCGTAACAGATAAAGAGCTGTTCGCGTGATCTTACATTTTGCGTTTGTTAAAGGTGCAAAGCGTGAACAGGACAAAGCAGTGAGTGGGTGGAGCCTGCTTCCTCCGAAGGCAGCCCTTGCAGGTTCACCACCTGATCTCTAAATCGGGTGGTAGGAACCTTGGGCACATAGCCAGGCCGGGGTCTCAGGACAACGTGAGAGTAACCGGGCCTGAATTCAAGGCACGATTCACTGACCGAAAATGCCTCCAGATCCCCAACTCTCTTGATGGCGCCAATGCGATCAGCAGAGCTGTCTTTAGTGACAAAATTGTAAGTGATAATGACTCAAGGGGCTCGAACGGATCTCTCTGCAGACCCGCTAGGACTAGAGAGAGATCCCAAGAGGGCATAAGAGGGGGGCAGGTTTTAACCGCCATACGCCTCTGAGGAATCGAATGATTAGATCATGCTTCCTAAGTGTGTTGCCATCTACCGCGTCTTGATGAGTGCCGATCGCAGCCACGTAAACCTTTAGTGTGGAGTGTGACAGCCTACGCTCCAGCTTATCCTGAAGGAAGGATAACACAATGCTAATCTGGCAAGTTCGGGGTTCTTCTCGGCAAGAAGCGCACCACTCAGAGAATAGACTTCACTTCAGGGCGTAGGCATGCCTCCTAGAGGGTGCTTTAGCCTGAGTGATGGTGTTAAGTACCGCGGGCGGTGAGTCACCTAAGTCTTCCGCGCTCCATCTATGGACCAGACGTGGAGGTTCCAGAGTTCTGGGCGTGAGTGCCATTTGGTGCCCCTTCCCTGAGAGAGGAGGTCCTCCCTCAGGGCAAAGCGCCAAGCAGGGGCCGCCGCGAGGAGTGTGAGCTCTGAAACCCAGGTTCGGTTGGGCCAGAGGGGCGCAACAAACAAGACCTGCCCCTCGTCCTCCCTGACTTTGCACAAACTTTGTGTAATTAGGCTCACTAGGGGAAACACATATTTGCCCATGCCCGATGGCCAGCAGTGAGCCATTGCATCCGTGCTGAGGGTGGCCTCGGTCAGGGAATAAAACAGCTGCCAATGTGCGGTCTCATATGAAGCAAACCAAGTGGCGTAATCGCGGCTGCAGATGCGATATGCCCCAGTAGCCTCTGAAAGCATTTCAGTGGGACCACTATCTTCCTGTGAAGCTCGTTTACACAGAAAAGCATCAGCCTGGCGCGCTCCTCGGAGAGACGCACAACTATAGCGACCGAATCCAGCTCCAGCCCAGATAAGAGATCCTCTGCACAGGGTAAAGTTTGCTCTTCTCTCGGTTGACCTGAAACCCCATCTGGTCGAGGTGCCAAAGCACTTTGTTTCTGTGCATAATCAGCTGATCGGGGGACGAGGTTAGAATGAGCCAGTCGTCTGAATAGTTGAGTTTGCGGATACCTGCAAGACGCAGTGGCGCTAGGGGACCCTCCGCGAGCTTGGTGAAACAGAGAGAGCCCAAATAGGAGGACTTTGTATTGCCACGCTCGTCCTTCGAACGCGAACCGGCATGGAAGAATGAGAGGGAAGTGAGAGCGGGAGCGCACGAGGACTGGGCATAAAAAGGTGCCATCCATGCCTGCGTGAGCTCTCTGTGTACCTCCGGGAAGAAGGGGATGGGGGATCTAGAAGGCTTCTCCTTTTTCTTCACCCCCATGTAACACCCGTCTAAGCGGTCCGGTCACGGTTCTGGGGGACAAGCTATCTCCAGCCCCACGGCACCCAGGATAACATGGCTAACATGTCCGAATCCAGATCCGTAACTATACTGACAATTTCAGAGGGTGGCAGGGGGTCTGGATCTTCCTCGGAGCATGTCAACCCGCCCTCCAATGCAGCGATGGATGTCACGCCCACAGTGTCATCTAATGCAAGCGCGGCCAGCCCAGAGGATGGACCAGTGCTCACATTTGAAGCAGAAACAGAGCGCACTGGCGAGGAGCGAGGGGTCCGCGGGCCCGAAGGCGACAGATTAGCCCCCACTGTAACCCTCAGGCCTGCCCGAGTGCTAACCGCTTGGTGGGGAGCGGAAGGGGTGTCTTGCCCTAATAAAAGAGCTCGACGCGACCTCAGTTGCGCAACAGTCAAGACATCGCAATGCGGGCAAGAACTATCCGCAAGCACCGCATCAACATGTTGGACCCCCAAGCATGTGACACAATACTCGTGCCTGTCATCCGGGGCGAGGAAACCCCCGCATCCAGAAACGCACAGTCGAAACGATATCTTTAAAAAGACGCTTTGCACCACCGTGTGCTCTCTTAGGGAAAACTGCTCTTTTAGATCACCAGTAAAACGCCAAGGGGAAGGGAAACCCAGCTCAACCGCCACTAAAGCGTCTTCTCCCGCACTGGTGAAGGAAATGCTTTCTTCAACGTTGGAAGTCAGCTCAGCAGAAGGGTTCTTCAGTCTCAGATCGGGCCTGAAGCAACAATTCTGACGAGCTAACTCACACAGCCGACTGATATAGCCCTAATTGGCTCATCAGTTTCAGCTGTGCAGCTTAGCTCCGCCAATTTAATTGGCATTACATTGGCCCGATTTATATCTTCAGAAGTGATTGGTCGTCTAGGTGATTGGGCTAGGTGAAAATCTTTTCTAACTCATTCATTTAGCCCTGTTTAATTCTTCAATTTCATGCATAATAGTCTCAAAAATGTCTTTAAAAGTCTTAAATTTACTTTATGATACCTGCAAAAACCCTGATTTAGAGTGGAAGTTGGCTCGAGGCAGACTGATTTCTTACACAACTGTACTGATATCTGATAAAAAAGGAATCCCAAAAATGTCTTATCATCACCCATATTGCTGTACATTACACTTGTGTTACTAATCAGGCAACAACTGCCGCAAATCCCATACTATAGAAGGTGCTACATTTGAATTTAAACTTTGAACCCTTAGAACACTAGGCAACACTTTATTTTGATGGTCCATTTGAGCATTTGTAGTCTGTCTGCTTAATATCTGCTAATACTGCTCCTTAAACAGACATTTAACTGACTATAAAAAACTTTGCGAGTACATGTCAACTTAAACTAATTCCAACCCCAACCTAACAGTCTACTTATAATCTAATGAGAATTAGTTGGCATGTAGATGCAATGTAACTTAAATTCACCAATGGGACCATTAAAATGAAGTGTGACCGATAACTACTGTCTATTTTATATATTATGAATTTGTGTATTATGAATGGAACGCTTTCTTCTTCATGGGAATGCAAAGTCTCCATTGGATGTGCACTTCATCATTTTGACAGAGGTAGTCATTCTGGTACAACTCGCCTACTGTTTTTTTTAATACTAATTTGGACAATATCTGAAACATTAAAGTGTGATAAACACGCAAAAAATAAGAAATCAGTAAGAGGGCAAACACTTTTTCACACCACTCTAAGCAGTTTAACAGCAAAGTTTCATGTCCAGTATGATGCTAGTGGAAAACTACTTGATCTTTTCTTCAGACAAGATTAATTTTATGCTGTTTCTGTCTGTATCAGGTAGCTCAGGACATGGCTTTGAACACGGGAGACACACTTTTCACACTGGAGATGCTGGAGGCAGCTGGAGACGTGTTCTTCAACAGTTCACAGGACCGAGACAAAGCCATCTGCTTTTACAGGGTAAGAGGGACATCTTCTGTTGTTATTCTACTCTGCCTGTTTTTTAATTAATTTGTACTACAATCCTCTTGTTAAGTCTGAGATCACAAACCAGTTTCCGTTTCAACAACAAATGATACTAATATTAACTTACAATGTGATATAAAGTGAGTAGGGTAGTTCACCCTGAAATAAAAATTAGTCGTTTGGGTTTTTTGTTTAGTTCAACAAAAAAGTAGATCTTTTGAAAAATGCTGGAAACATGTAACTATTGACATTCATAATGGGAAAAACAATGGAAGTCATTGGTTACTGGTTTCCAACATTAGTCAGAATGTCTTATTTAGTGTTCCATTATCTATTTAAAGGGATAGTTCATCCAAAAATGAAAAATTGCAGTTAATTTACTCACACACAGGTCATCAGGTCACCCACAGGCTTTTGATGATAAAAGTACAAGTGCGCTAGGACAGGACAGAAGGTCAGGTTAAGCAGTTTGTTGATAGATTTTTGTGACTGAATCACCAACTCTTGTGCTTTCGTCATTAAAAGTGACGGAGCTACAATCAGACTACTGTCGCACAAGTGCCTTAACTGTTTGTGTTAAGTGTGTAACTGTTTGACTAGGATGTGAATAAAAGCTAATAACATAAAGGATAATTGTAAATAGGGGTGGCATGGTGGTGCAGTCAGTAGCGCTGTTGCCTCACAGAAAAAAGGTTACTGGTTTGAGCCCTGGCTGGGCCAGTTGGCATTTCTGTATGGAGTTTGCATGTTCTCCCTGCGTTCGTGTGGGTTATCTCCTGGTGCTTTGTAATCCCCCACAGTCCAAACACATGCGCTATAGGTGAATTGGGTAAGCTAAAATGTCCGTAGTGAATGTCCTGGTCCTCCAGGTTGAGAGTTGAGCGTTGGGCTAACTACCCACCTTGCAAAAATTTCATGTTACGAAACACCAACATGGTACTGCTAAATACCAACTTATAAATAAGTATATAAATGATATAAACGGCCCTGGGAGTAAGTAAATAAGTAAGTAATTGTAAATAATGTTAAATTTCTCACACGAAATAATCGTTTTACTTTACAAGACACTGGTGTGTCCTCAGGACCCACAGCTATTGATTGACTTGTTTATATGTGTTTTTGTGTTTATCTAAACAACCTGTCACCATTCACTCCCATAATATGAATCACCATAGAGCACAGATTCAGCTCAAAATCTTCTCGAATGTTGCACGGAAGAAAAAAGTGATCTACTTCTTGGACGACTAGTGGTGGGTGAATTAACAGAAAATTTGCAGTTTTGAACTATTCCTTTTAATGCTACTGCAAAATCTAGATTTCAATGTTATTTCCTGAATCTCAGCCGGACAGACAGTAACTCATCTATTAAAAGTCAAATATAGGTGTCCAAAGATTGTTGTGAATAGAACTGAACAATATATTGTTGAGCATCGATATCGCAATGTGTGTATCTCCAATAGTCACGTCACAGGATTAGATCATTTATTAAAGTTTAAAAGATAAAGTTATCATTAAATATTATTATTTTAAAATAACTTATACAACAATGATCATGCTGTTTTGTTTGATTACACACATTCTGTAGCTGAAAACTGTTAAATACTCTAGAAAACCATAAAGCATTGTATATTTCACTTTTATTGTTGCTCTGTTTTATTAAAATATGCTTCTAATTTATTATAATTGATGCAAACACACTGCATAGAAAAAACAATCTGGATTATCCCAGGAACTGAGTAAAATTCAGTTCCCGGAGGGCCGCAGGTCTCCACAGTGTAGCTGCAACCTTAATCAAACACACCTGATCAAACTAATTGAGTCCTTCATGTTTGTTTGCAATGTACAGGTAATGCCGAATTCAGACTGCAGAATTTTCAAAGTAGTCATGTCACGGATGTTTTAACACTGCATGACTATCTGGGCTAGCGTTTCATCGCTGCTTTGTTTACACTGCAAGATGGATAACCGACAGGGACTTTCACATTGCATGACTTTACAATAGAAAGAATCACCGACAACTTTGTCTAAACTACGTCTCACAACCAAAACATGTAGTATATCTTTTGTTATTGACTACATAAAGAGAAAGAAGCGTTTAATAGGGTAGAAAATGTACATATTTGCTCACCTGGGTCTGAGGGGAATTAGCAATTTCTCCTCAACTTTCTTTTTTAACTTTCTGTATGAAGTGTCAAACAGACATGGGTGCTCCTGTCAAACCTCCACTAGTTTCTCCTCCATTTCTTGGGTCCAAATAAACTGAAACGGAGCGCTTTTAACTTTTAACTTTTTTTTTTTTACTTTTTAACTCCCTTTAACCTCCCGCTGGCCAGCAGGTACACACACACACAAGTGAAAGCTGCTCTCTCATTGCCTGTAAGTGATCGCATATGTTATTTTTAGTCAAAACTCAATTCACACGGCATGATTTGAATCGCCGACAGCTCCAGATATTTAGCATGCCAAATATCTCACAGGCATTGGCGACTCATCTGCGATTCTCTCAGATTGCGTCTTTCATAGTTCATACTGTGTGATTGTCACTCATGTGCACAAGCACCAATTTGCCTGTCAATTTGCCTTGGCATTTGTTGGCGATTTCTCAAAACCTGTCGGGGAGTAAAAATTGGGGCTAAAATCATGCAGTCTGAACTAGGCATAAGTGTATTGGGGCAGGGTTGGAACTAGACTGTACAGAGCTGCGACCCTCCAGGAACTAAGTTTGACACCCTGAAGAATGAAATCTTTTCAAATAGAACAATTCAATTCATCTGGTGAAATTAAATTCATATCACAATATACACAACATAACACAACAAAACAAAACATATCAAGGTTTCAGATTTTTTCTATATCAAGCAGCCCTAGTAGTAAACACTGTGATTTTGTAAATGATGCGCTTTAATGTGTGATACGAATATGCAGAAGTCATATACAGATATTATTTGAGTTTTCTCAATTCAAATGAATGCAAGCTTGGACCTGAAAACAGTGTTTCAAAACTTAAATTAGTAAGTCACAACTTAACAAGTGGATATTTTTATTAGAAAACATAAATCATAAGCATTTTATTTGAGTTTGATCAGAATGTGTGTGTGTGTGTGTGTGTGTGTGTGTGTGTGTGTGTGTGTGTGTGTGTGTGTGTGTGTGTGTGTGTGTGTGTGTGTGTGTGTGTGTATGTGTGTGTGTGTGTGTTTGTGTGTGTGTGTGTGTGTGTGTGTGTGTGTGTGTGTGTGTGTGTGTGTAAGGACCGAGCTCTTCCAATTGCAGTGAAGACGAGCAGTGTTGGCTCTCAGCTCCGGCTGTGTAATAAACTCTCAGAGCTTCTGCTGCAGCTGGGACAGAGTTCAGAGGCCCTTGAGTTTGCTCAGACTGCATTAGACATCAGCGTGAGTCTCGGTAAGATAACACACACAGACACAACCACTGTAAATTCAGTTCATCTTTTTTTCTATTACAATGTAAATTGTGTCAAAGCGGCTTAACAATGATTACATAAAATTACTATTGCATACAGTTGTTTGTAAGATTTTTTTTTTTCATTCATTCATTTATTTTCCTGCAGCTTAGTCTCTTTATTTACCACAGCGGAATGAACCGCCAACTATTCCAGTGGATGCACTTATAATATATATTTATATAGAAAACATTATTTTAGCTAGTGCTTGGCAAATATTAATTCTAATTAATCAATTAATAAATAAAAAGCTTTTTTTATATAATATATGTGTGTGCGCTGTATATGTATAATGTAAATATAAATACACACATGCACACATATATTTGAAAAAATTTATATTTTTTAAGTATTTAGGATATTATAAACATTAAAAAAAATTTCCCAAATGATGTTTAACAGAGCAAGGAAATTTTCACAGTATGTCTGATAATATTTTTTCTTCTGGAGAAAGTCTTATTTGTTTTATTTTGGCTAGAATAAAAGCAGTTTTTAAATTTTTTAAACACCATTTTAAGGTCAAAATTATTAGCTCCTTTAAGCTATAGTTTTTTCGATAGTCTACAGAACAAACCATCATTATACACTTACTTGCCTAATAAACCTAACCTGCCTAGTTAATCTAATTAACCTGGTTAAGCCTTTAAATTTTTCATTTTTTGTCTGCTTAGTCCCTTAATCTGCTTATTAATCCGGGGTTGCCACAGCGGATTAACCGCCAACTTATCCAGCAAGTTTTTACGCAGTGGATGCCCTTCCAGTCGCAACCCATCTCTGGGAAACATCCACACACACATTCACTCTCACACACTACTGACAAATTAGCCTACCCAATTCAACTGTACCGCATGTCTTTGGACTGTGGGGGAAACCGGAGCACTAGGAGGAAACCCACGCAAGGGCAGGGAGAACATGCAAACTCCACACAGAAACGGCAACTGAGCCGATGTTCGAACCAGCGACCCAGCGACCTTCTTGCTGTGAGGCGACAGCACTACCTACTGCGCCACAGCCTCGCCCTAAGCCTTTAAATGTCACTTTTTATATATATACAAATTATATACAAACCTAAATATCTATGTGACAAAAAGTTTTGTATAGTTTTGACACATATACATAATGCATTTATCAAATACCCACACAAATATTATGTCAAAACAAACTTTTATTTTATGGGTGTGATTAATCATGATTAATCTTTACCCAGCACTAAAAAAAAACAATGTGTCAAATAATTTTTATTATCAAGTCAATTAATTTATTTATCTTAAAATTTTATCTTAATATTTTTAATGTCTATCCTTTGTATATTTTTTTATAAATGCCTAATGTTTAGTTGCATATATTTAAAAAAATGTTTATGTATTTTAATTATTTTAATGTCGTTTTATTTAAGAATTTAGACGAAGAGTTAGTTTTAAATTAAATGAAAAGTAATTCATTGTGAACAAGCTGAAGTAAAATCATTTTAAATAAACATATAAATATATTTTTATATATTAAAATGAATGTTAATTTTATGTCAAATAACAAAATAGTTTTTCTTTTGTTAACTATAATAACCCTTTATTCAGCAAGATTAAAAAATCTGACCTCTACTAATTTTTTAATGTGTGTTCGTGCTAATGATGCAGTGATTAATCGATTTCACTAATTACCGTGCTTTAATTCGTCAAAGTTATTTTACTGCAAAGGCTTCTCAACATAGCGTTTCTGCACAGAACAAAACTGCTGGAACTCAACCAAGTTACGCCAACAGTGCGCTAGTTTAAAGTTCCGCTTGTGCACAGAGCCAATAAGCACACACACTAGATTAACTATGGCTGAGGCTATTAACTAAGGGACGTGCAAGTTCGTTATTTCTAATGGAGGCACGCAGTGCATGTTTTGTTTGGAACGCACACAATTTTATACTATAGTTGCAATCTTTGACTACTATTTATTTATTTATTGTTCTGTCGTTTATATTTATTATAAAAGTATTACTAATGTTCAAAAGCTAAACATTTTTTTTCATTTATTTTTTAGTCCAAAGTGAAATGGATTCTTGTTTTGCTGTATTGTTTTTATTATTATTTTGTGCTGTATTTATTGGTCACTGAGCATCAATAAATAACACTATAATAAAATATAAGGAGTTTTCGTTTGATTTACTAAACCAGTAGTGTTTTAAAAAAAAATGAATGCACAATAATTGTAAAACCGTGATTATTCTTTAGACTATAATTGTACAACCAAAAATCTAGAATTAATGCATCCCAGCAAACTCTTGCATATACAGTACAGTAGGACTATAAATTCATGGTATTCATTATGTGATAAAGATTTACACTCCATCACAGCTTGTGGCTTCCTGCCAAAGTATTGAATGTGTTTCTGAGAATATGGCACAGATGGTAAACTCATGGTCCTGATGATAAACAGCTGGAAACAGATAAAGCTTTGTGTGTTTTCTTCCAGCTGACCGTTTGAATGAGAGAGTGGCTTTCCATCGACTTGCCACACTTTACCATTGTCTGGGTCAGTTTGAAATGGCGGAGCACCACTTTCTGAAAGCCCTGTCTCTGTGCCCATCTCCCCTGCAGTATGACGAGGAAGCCCTGTATTATGTCAGGGTTTACCAGACCCTTGGAGACATCATCTTTTATGACGTAAAGGTAACGTGAACACCTAATGAACACCAAATACTTCAATCCTCCATCTAGTTAATCAAATGAAAAAAAAAATGCCATAATATATTTTTTATTTTAATTTTCAGTTTGTACACATTGAAATACAACATTTCACATACCCTTTTTACAATAACCTTGCTGCATTTGAAATTATACAAAATAAAAGGATAAGTATATGTTAAAATGTAAACAAAAAAACAGACAAACAACAAAAACAAAAAACAAGAAATAAAAATTCCCCTTTTTTGGTAATGGTAATCCATCATACTACGTACAAGCTACAGCAAATATATTGATGAGTGTATCAAAACAGAACTGTAAGACTGGAACTGCATTGTCCACACAAAAACTAAGCATCAACTTCTTTCTCTGTTAATTCCACATCTTGTATATAACTGAAGTTTAGCATGTAAGATTTATTTTCTAATGGTGGGCTAGACAACATCTGTCTTATCCATTGAGTAGAGTTTGGTCTTTGAAACCATATTTCTGAGCATAATATTGTCATAACATCTAAATGCTTCAGAAAATTAATGTACACCTTGCTTAATTCTTGTTGTCTGGATATTAAGCTGGTACTGGGTTAAATGTTTTGCATTTCATGGTAAACCAGAAGAGGGCAGTCTAAGTACAGTACATACTGAATAAATGAATACTTATTCACACTCCATAGTACAAAAACAAAAGCTTACTCATTGTCTAAGTGCACATATACAGGTATATTTATAATAGTATATATAACATATAATATCAATAATCAGTTGAGGACATAAAGAAGTGAAATCTGTTTTCATATGCAATATGACTACTACTATTATTATTATTATTATTATTATTATTATTATTATTAAAAATAATACTATTGTAATAGCTTTATTTAAATAAAAAAGATACATTAGTAAAGGAATACATTTCTTTTCAGTACTGTAAATAAAAACAAATATGATGTATTAATAATAATAATAACAATAATAATAGTAATAATAATAATATTATTTATTCCTCTTCTTTTTGGCTTAATCCCTTCATTAATCTGGGCTTACCACAGCGGAATGAACCGCCAACTTATCAAGCATATGTTTTACACAGTGGATGCTCTTCCAGCCACAACCCATCACTGGGAAACATCCATACACACTCATTCACACACATACACTATGGCCAATTTTAGCATACCCAATTTACCTTTAGCACATGTGTTTGGACTGTGGGGAAAACCAGAGCACCCAGAGGAAACCCCTACCAACACGGGAGAGAACATGCAAACTCCACACAGAAACGCCAGCCGACCCAGCAGAGGCTCGAACCAGCGACCTTGTTGCTGTGAGGTGATCGTGCTACTCACTGGTTGAATATTTACATGGACACTGAAAAGTGACCCAAACTCAACAGAATTCAATAGATGCTCTATTCCAGATGTGAAATCGTTTGAATCAGCTTAAAAATTGAGCAGATGTTAATAGTTTCTGATCTCCACCTTATAAACATTCCTTTATTAATGTCATTAAGATAAAAACAACACCAGTCAACATCCACATAGTTTTACACTTGAGAATAGCCATCGGCAAGTATTGCTCAGATTTCCAAATACCTTCCAAATATCTAACTCACTTCACCAAAAGGAAAATTGCGCACACCTGTGTGGGACGCTGTAAATCTGATGTCTGTTCTCATGAATGTACATGTTGGAGATTTTTATCATTAACACACTCATGTTTAAATTAGATTAAATCTGTGAATCTAGCAATCTGTCATTTGGTTGCCAGATATCACCATTCATTGACTTGGCACATTCGCCCTTTTGAAAATTTAATAATTTCTTTTTAAAAATCTGAAGTATTTAAAAGAGGAACTTAAAAGCTGTTTAGCTGTTAGAAATATTATGTTATACTTTTTTTTCTGTATAATTAATCAATTAACTGAAAAATTATAATATTAATAACATTAATAATAAATACAAAATACAGTTTGAAATAGTAATATTTTCTTTACTGGCTTAATTTCTATAATAATATAAATAGTATTTAAATTGTTGTATTATTAATAATAATTATAATGATAATAATGGTGGTGCAGTCGGTAGTGCTGTCACCTCGCAGCAAGAAGGTCGCTGGGTTGCTGGTTCGATCCTTGGCTTAGTTGGCGTTTCTGTGTGGAGTTTGCTGGTTTTCCCTGCGTTCGCTTGGGTTTCCTCTGGGTGCTCTGGTTTCCCCCACAGTCCAAAGACATGCAGTACAGGTGAACTGGGTATGCTAAATTGTCCTTAGTGTATGAGTGTGTGTGTGAATGTGTGTGTGTGTGTGTGTGTGGATGTTTCCTAGAGATGGGTTGCGGCTGGAAGTGCATCCACTGCGTAAAAATGTGCTGGATGGGTTGGCGATTCATTCCGCTGTGGCGACAAGAAAATGATAAAATGAATAATAATAATTATTATTTTATTTTTATTTTTTTGTTTTGCTGTTGTTGTTGTTGCTGTTATTGTCTTTTTTTTTGTCACTTGGCAAGTTTACATTTTTGTGCTCTGGATGTTTTAATCACAGCCAAAAAACCCAATGCTTTTGGCAGCTTTTCATTCATTCATTCATTCATTCATTCATTCATTCATTCATTCATTTTCTTTTCGGCTTAGTGCTTTTATTTATTTGGGGTCGCCATAGCGGAATGACCCGCCAACATATCCAGCATATTTTTTATACAGCTGCTCTTCCAGCTGCAACCCATTGCGGGAAACATCCATACACATTCACACACACACCCGTACACTACTAATTTAACCTACCCAATTGACCTTTAGCGCATGTCTTTGGACTGTGAGGGAAACCGGTCCGGAGCATCCAGAGTAAACCCATGCCACCGTGCTGCCCGCTTTTGGCAGCTATGATATCTAAATTAAATTTTTGAATGATGTTATGCAAATGCAGTTTTTTTATTTATTAGATTCACATGATGATTACAAACAAAACAGACCTTCTGTGAAATTTATGTTTTTAAATATTTCCCAAATATTTCACTTAATCTGCTTTCAGTCAGTAAGTTTTTTTGCGTTATAGTCATTACTGAGATGAGATCATCACCTGGATTGTATTCTTTGTATAATCTTAAATACCACTGGAGACAACTCTGAGACTTTGGTCTGTTGTTTTCAGTTCAGTTCAGTTCAGTTCCCTCTCTCTCTCTCTCTCTCTCTCTCTCTCTCTCTCTCTCTCTCTCTCTCTCTCTCACTCTCTCCCTCTCTCTCTCTCCCTCTCTCTCTCTCTCTCTCTCTCTCTCTCTCTCTGAATTCAATTCAATTCAATTCAATAATTGCTTTATTGGCATGACTGTTGTTACAAATGTATTGCCAAAGCAGTTATAAAGTTTACATAAAAAGTAAAATACATACATAATAAAAAAAACAGTACACACAGTAAATAGTAGTAGTAAAAAAAGATGATATATATATATATATATATAATTAAATAAAGTATCAACAATACATCATATTATTCAATATATCACATTAATATTCAATATATTATATTATTATTCAACATTAATTATTCATACAAATCAATACAAAAATAGATCAGAATAAACTATATTTTTAGGATAAAACAGTAATAAAAACAATAATAATCAGTATATTTACAATGATTCATTTATAATCATCTAGGTGTGTGTGCAATAATGTAGGCATTATTGTATTGGGGCGCTAGAAGGACACACACTCATTTTTTTCCCCTAGTAAATATTGAAGCTGTGTTTTATTGTCTAACTCAGTGAATTGTGGGTAAATGCTTTCTCTCTCTCTCTCTCTCTCTCTCTCTCTCTCTCTCTCTCTCTCTCTCTCTCGCTCTCTCTTTCTCACTCACTAATTTATTTGAGTTAAGTCCTACAGATTTTTCATGCTCATTATTGTGAATGTTTTGTTGGTCAATTCAGGTGCCATAACACAAAGTTGACTTTTTTTTGGCCTTTTTTCAACTGAAGAGAATCTTCAGAAGCTGCTACTGTTTTTTTTTTTTTTTTTGGATTGTGATGCAGTTCCTAGACAAACGCAATAGTAAATGGCACAGAATCTCTCTCTCTCTTCATTTCAGGACCCTTTTGATGCTGCTGGCTATTATCACCTGGCTTTGGCTGCTGCGATGGATCTGGGCAATAAGAGGTCTCAGCTGCAGCTCTGCACCCGACTGGCCACCATCTATCACAACTTCCTCATGGACCGTGAGCTCTCACTCTTCTTCTACCAGCGAGCACGAGTTTTCGCTAATGATCTACACATTCGCAGAATCAACCTGGCTCCAGACTACAGCTTCAGGTCCACATCCCAGTACAAACACACGATAACTGGGGCAGCAAGATAGAACTTTACTTAATTGGATATGACACTTCACTGCATGTTTTGATTTGGCTTGTGTGTGAATTTCCTATGTTTACTTTATGTTTGCCGGATGTTATGTGTGTTGGTTGATCTATTTACAGAATATCTGACTCATGTTGATCGGTCCAGCAAGTGTTTACTGGAGTGATACAGCTTTTAGGCACTGCTTGCTTTCTGTTTTAATTCTAAAATGGAAAAAAAAGTGACTTTTATATGACCTACTTGGCAGAATATCTCATGACTGAAGCAATCAGATATGTTATTATCTACAATTAATGAAGATAATCTTAAAGAATCATTCACCCAAACATGATAATTACTGCATAATATACCAACTCTCATGCCATTCTCATTTTTTACAAGACTTTTTTCTTTCAGATGAACACAGTGGAAGTTTTATTATTAATTTTATTTTTCCGTTTTCATACTTTATAATGGTGTTGAGGATTTGGTCTTTTTATGGTTCCAAAAGTGTATAAATCCTTCATAAAATGAACCCATTTGTCACCAGGGGTTAAATGTATATAATAAAACGGATTGATGCGTTTTTATGACAAAAAGGTTTTAAAAGTTTAAATTGTAATCTCAAATCAATGAGTTTAGTAGTAGTAAAATAGCTTTGGGTCAGATCAGCTTTGTTGCTGCGATCTATTAAAAGTCAGCCCTCGATCCAAGTTTTGTTGGGCCGGAAGGGCGAGAGAGGCCTCCAGTCTGTCGCTTGTCCTGTGGGAAGTGGTGGTGCACCAATGGTAGGTGTCGGTCGAAAGGGGCAGACTGGCCGTTTTCTCCCACCATCCCGTGAGGGTGGTGGTGGTGCACCGATGGCAGGTGTCTGGTTGGTAGATCGGTCGGTCAGTTGGTCAACAGCCAGCTCCACCTCCACCACCAGGCTGGCGTTTCCCATAGACAATGGTTCTCCAATGGCAGGATGTCAGCTGACCTATTTCTCCACAAAGCCAATGGGGGGCACCAGTGGCACATGAGTCTAGTATGTGGTTAGCTAAATCAGTGTTCCCCGGGGTTAAGTGCGGGGTGCCCAGGCGCTGCTGGTAAATGGGTCCATACAGTGGAGGTAGTGGTGACCTGGAAGCCTCCACCTCTCTGGAGGGTCTGGCACAGGGGACTCTAGAGGCACGAGGACGTCCTGGGCCTAGCGGAGAAGCGGACGACAGAGAGAGAAACAGTCAGGCATGAGCAGGTTCATCCAGGGCAGAAGACAGATATCCACCACCTCACTTGCAGGCCAGACCAAACCAAACTCAAACCAAACTCTTATATTCAACGTCCAGAGAATATTTCTGCACTTGTTTGGTTCCAATCTGGTGTAAAACGTAGGACTCGTTTGCAGAAGTTTTAAAAAGCTTGCACCGTAGAGCAAATTTATAGTTGAAATTGTATTTACTTATTTATGATCAGAGAATTTCAAATGAGTATTTGAGTTTACGACAAGTGGTGCAGGAGTTATGAGCCCTTTTGTGGTTAAGAGCACTGTGGGAACATCTATTGACCAATTTGAAAGTTCGAATACCGGCGCTATCTCATGATCATATTCGTACAGTTTAGTATGATTTGGTTATCCCCCAATGATGACTGGGTTTAGGGGAAGAGTTTGGTGCCATGCCTCCTTTTAAAAATTGTACATTTTTGTACAACTGAACTCAACTGAATTAGCCACTAAGCTGACAAAACGTAGAACAGTTTTGTTTCCTTGGGAGATCAGGCTGCGAATGCACATTCATGACAACCTCTATGCTAAATCGACATATGATGCATGACAGAAGACTCCGTTATAGTGGAAGCTCTGGCTATATTTCACTGTAAAAGAAGAAAAGCTTGAGTTTTTGTTTTACGTGTTTGTTTGAACCGGAGTACATTATCATCATCATCATTATTGTCATGCGTCATACATCAAGTCAAAGGTCATTTAAAAAGACAAAAACACTTCGATCCTTTTCATTAGAGTTGTGTTAACCCCATGGCGATGTGTAGGTTATTTTTCATTCATTTATTAATTTTCTTTTCGGCTTAGTCCCTTTATTAATCTGGGGTCCCCACAGCAAAATGACCCGCCAACTTATCCAGCATATGCTTTATACAGCGGATGCCCTTCCAGCTGCAACCCATCCCTAGGAAACATCCATACACACTCACTCATACTCATACACTACGGAAAATTTAGCCTACCCAATTCACATGTACCGCATGTCTTTGGACTTGTGAGGGAAACCAAAGCACTCTGAGGAAACCCACGCGAATGCAGCGAGAACATACAAACTCTACACAGAAACTCCAACTGACCCAGCCGAGGCTTGAACAAGCGACCTTCTTGCTGTGAGGCGACAGCACTACCTACTGTGCCACCCTAGGTTATTTTTACGATATACATAAAAAAGGTGCCAGGATAAAATTGAAATCTACTGTGATTGTGTTTGTCTGAAAGAAGAAAGTCAAATACATGGACGGTTTGGGGGTGAGGAAATTATTGCTTATTACTATGACTTTCTTAATGTCTGTTTTACCATTCTGCAAAATCTATTTTTTTATTGATTAATAATTTTGACACATGCAAGGGATGTCAGTGAACACGTTTTTGACTCAGTAGTGGCTGTTGTTTGTGCAGAAAGTAGCAGGATTTGTGTTTTTTACATAAAGATGTTCACGCATGGTGAAATACATGATTTTGTCCAAACACAGTCAGTTAAGTGAAAACAAACCCTGTGCCTTGGCATTCAAATGTATTTGTCAAAAAGAGATTTTGTTGGTCTCTAATAAAAGTGGATTTAATATTTAATTTAATCAACATTTTAAAGTTGCTTTGTTCACCATCTTTGAATGCAAATGTTAACAGAATGGAATGTAGCTACACAATTGTAATTAAATAACAATATCTACTCGATTCCATTGGGTAAACTAAACTTTAAACCAAAAATGAAAATTCTGTCATCATCAACTCTCTTTTCACTTGTTCCAAACCTGTTTAAATTCTATTATTTATGTTAAACACAATTGTATTTTTTTATTTTTTTAAGAAACCGGTTGCCATTGGCATAGTAAAAAAAGAAAATACTATGGAAGTCAATGGTCACTGGTTTTAAACATTCTTCGAAATACCTACTTTTGTGTTCAACAGAAGAAAGATAATAAAATAAAATATGTTTTCTGATGAAACAGTTAAGTAAATTGTTTACATTGTAGCACACTTCAATTCAATTTAATGTCAGTGTGCTTTTAGTATGTTAGTAAACATGTTAACACGTTTTTTATTAAGATAAAACAACAAAAATTTTCACTAAAACTTTTACATTTACATTACATTTACAAATTGGATTTTATTTCATTTATTTTAATAATTCTATAATTCATATATTCTATTTATGAATTTATCCTGTTAAATTTTTCCTCATTAAAACGTTAATTCGCGCTATTTTATAAATATACTGCTTTTTTGAGTGTACAAATAATGGCTGAATCAGTTTATCTATGAAACGATCTGTTTAAAAGAACCGGTTCGCGGAAAAGATTCGGACTTCCCATCGTCAGAACAGTTTGGGGTAAGAGAATTCCCCGCCTCTCCTGGAAAGAAAAAGAAAAGCAAGACTTTAATCGAGGATGTTGAGAGCGAGAGATGGTCGGCAGATGCGAATGTAGCATCACCATTTATTTTGAGAGGCTTCACACACATTGCTTTAATGAGCTACATATGAAATCAGCGGTATTTGCGCACATCAGAGAACCACTTTGGCTTTGATAAGAAAAATATTCCTCTTGCTGGACAAACCTCTCCACACTTTCTTTTTAACCGAGCCTGCAGGAACGTGCACTTTTTCATAGGACATTTAATGCGTAATGGTGATCTCCAGGGGACACTGAGTAGGCTATCCAAGAACTCTTGATAATCCACACTTTTTCACTTATAGTTAAAGAAATGCAGGTCATTTTGTGTGTTTCGGTTGTTTTTCTTTACTACAAAGCTGCTGTAGCGGATAAACTCAAGTGTCCGGAGCGCTGCGATGTGAGCAAGTGTCCGAGCCCGAGCTGTCCGAGCGGGTACGTGCCGGACCGCTGTGATTGCTGCCTGGTGTGCGCGCAGGGGGAGGGCGAGCCGTGCGGCCGCAAGGACGATCTGCCCTGCGGGGACGGGCTGGAGTGCAAGCACCCGTCCGGAAAGAGACTGTCCAAAGGCGTGTGCCAGTGCAGGTACAGCAGTAAAGTGTGCGGTAGCGACGGGAACACGTACGGCAACATCTGCCAGCTGAAGGCTGTGAGCAGGAAGGCGCTGCAGCAGGGTCTGCCCGCGGTCACCAACGTGCACAAAGGACCGTGTGAAAACAATCAAGGTAAGTGATTTGTGTACTGCAAAAGGAAGGCATGTTTTTGGACAAAATATGAATTTATGCCAAAATGTAATTAAAACGATAGTTTACCCAACAATGAATATGCATTCACTGTTTACACTCTCTGAAGTGGTTACAAACCTTTATGAGTTTCCTTTGTTTATGTTGAACACAAAAGAAAGAAAGTCAAACTGTTTGGAACAAGTAAAATTTGTGTAAACAATGACAAATATTTCCTTTTTGGGGTGGACTATATCATTTTAAATATAATTTATAATTATTAATAAATATAATTTACAATTGTAATTTTATGTTGTAAAGGGCTGAAGGGGTTTATGATTAAAATCTCATCAGATTAAAACATACCAATTACTCTGTACATTAATAATAAATAAGTCTAACTCATAGGTAATGTAATTTAATGTAATGTGTATTTATATAGCGCATTTATTGTGTATGGCCATACACCCAAAGCGCTTTACAATCATGAGGGGGGTCTCTCCACACCACCACCAGTGTGCAGCATCCACTTGGATGATGCGACAGCAGCCACAGGACAACGGCGCCAGTGCGCTCACCATACACCAACTATTGGTGGAGTGGAGAGACAGTGATAGAGCCAAATTGGTGGAAGGGGATGATTGGGAGGCCATGATCGTAAGGGCCGATAGAGTGACTTTGGCCAGGACACCGGGGTTACACCCCTGCTCTTTCATGAGAAGTGCCATGGGATTTTTAATGACCACAGAGAGTCAGGACCTCGATTTAATGTCTCATCCGAAAGACGGCGCCCACTGACAGTGTAACATCCCCTTCACTTTTACTGGGGCATTAGGACTCACACAGACCACAGGTTGAGCGCCCCCTGCCCCCCCTCATAAGTCATGGTTTCCCCTGGGCCTTTTTTTTTTGACAAAACAAGATTAACCAACACCCTATCATTTATCAAATTAACCAACACCCTATCATTTATCTTTAATTCATTTATTCATTCATTTTCTTTTTGGCTTAGTCCCTTTATTCATCAGGGATCGCCACAGCAAAATTAACCGCCAACTTATCTAGCACATGTTTTACACAGCGGATGCCCTTCCAGCTGCAACCCATCACTGTATGCAACCATACACTACAGCCAATTTAGTTCATCAGTTCCCCTTATAGCGCATGTGTTTAGACTGTGGGGGAAACCAGAACACACGGAGGAAACCCATGCCAACACGGGAAGAACATGCAAACTCCATGTTCATGTTGGTGCAAACACCAACTGACCCAGCCGAGGCTCGAATCAGCGACCTTCTTGCAGTGAGGCGATTGTGCTACCCACTGCGCCACGTTATGCCCTCATTTATCTTTCAAAGGAAAAAAATCAAAGTTCTTCCAGATCAGCAGTAAAACTTTTTATCTGTGGTGACAGGAAGAGCAAGCAGACACTTTGTTGTAAATGGTACCACCTCTCTGGAGACACGCTATCAACCTACAGCTGCGTTAAAAGACGAATGAAGGGGTGAAATGATGTGTATCAGGAAATGACCTGGTCAGCTTAGTGGGTCAGATGTTTAGGTCTGATAATGACTCTTTAAACGCAACAATAATTTAGCAACACAAGATTAAAAATAGTTAAGCTGGTAGCAATCATCCACCAATTAGTTACTGTTGGCTTCTACAGTGTCGCTGACCATTGAGACTGGCCATTCTGTTTTTAATTGGTAATTACTAATGGGGTTTTAATTCTTGGAGACCTTTGTTCATCTTTAGAACACAAATTAAAACATTTTAGATGAAATCCGAGAGCTTTCTTCATAGACAGAAAAGGTCCAGAGACATTGAATGTGCAGAAAAGAAACCAAAAACATTGTCAAAACATTCCATGCGGTTCAGGGGTTCAACTGTAATTAAACAAAAATATATATAAATAAAAATTGTGTACATAAAAAAATATCGCACTAACATGTGTGAAAAACATGGCTTTTAATTTATGTTCTAAATTACATAATTGGTATATAAAAATATTGTGTCAATGAACCCCTTTTATCAATTAAAAATTAATAGCAATGTTTTTCACACGTGTTGATCCGATGCTTAAAAATTTAACATAATTGCCTCTAGGAGTCACTAATGGAAATAAAGCAAACACATAAGAAATACATGAAGTTGTGGCGGACCAATGCACATTCCCACGTTAATTTCATCATTAGTGAATCTGAACATTAGCGTGACACCTGGCGTGCGCAAAGTTTTTGTACTTATACAGCATTGATACATGAGCCCCCTGGTCTTTGTTCTTCGCGCTGTATCTCCAAAGTTATAAATATTTAAAATAGGCACTATCCTTATAAATAAACTGCATAGTTGCAATCTAAACAACTACATTCTTGACTAAAAAAGCCTCAAAAGTACATTATGTTGTCCAAGAGATACAATATTTCTCAAACTGTAAAACTGTAGTGAGTTTATTGATGTATATAACAGAATAACAGAACTGCTATATATAATTTTTATTTTTACTTTGTTTGCCTACTTTGCCTATGTGTGTTAACATTGTGCTCACATTGTGCAATTACTGCCACAATTTTATTGTCTGAGACAAATTTGGGAAATCCTAAAAGATTCTCATGATCCTATACGCTAAAATCTGTGGTTTTTGATTGGTGGTTTGACATGCTCCCTAATTTCAATTTACCTATAACGCATGTACTTTAAACTGTGGGGGAAACCGGAGCACCAGGAGGAAACCCATGCCAAAACGAGGACATTTTTTTTTTACTAGATGGAAGTTCATTGTCCTTTTTTTTTTTTTTTCTTTTTTTTTGTGATGTGCATCCACTTAAACAGTCCCGTCCTTTATGAACTGATTGGGTTGTTGAAAGATGGGTGTTGCTAGCAAAGTGAAAGAAAATTGGATGTGATCAGAAGTAAAGTAATTTTAAGGGAGGAGAGGTATGATATTTTATTAAAGATTCTGAGGGAAATAGTTTTTTAGTAAATTACAACGTGCACAGATACATCTTTTATAAAAAGCACTACTATATACATACATAAAAAAAGAAGAGTCCATTTTAATTTCACTTTGACTTTAGTGTGTATATTTAGTGAGTAACCCAGTAGCGAGGCACACAGCGAATCATGCAAAAGAACCCACAGAAAAGCCCCGTGGCTATTTGGAGAGCAGCTGATCATCACAGCATGAAGTCACGTAAATTACAGTCTATCATTCTAGACAATTTAGTCTGAAACCTCAAAATAAAGCACTACGCTCACAATCACTACATTAAATAACTCAGAAACAGATGTCGCCCAGCAGCTTTTCCACAGCAATGTGTGATTGGTTGCTCTTCTACATTGTGTCTCTATACTGATAAAAACGAATGAGGAAACTATTAAAAACATTCATCTTCAGTTTCTGCCTGAACGACTTCGGGTTGAGTGGCGTTTCTCAACAGTAGATGCATCTTTCTAAATAAATTTGCACACACCGCCAGTGGAAGTTGACTTACTTGGCAGTCTGAAATCTCGGAGGTCACGGCTCCGTGATGCAGCCACACTGGAATGTGCTTTTATATGGGGTGTTGCATATGATTAATGATTTACAGTCGGGTGCACTTTTAATGCATGCTTCTTTTGGATTCTCGCAGCTTCCAAATATAAAACTTCAACGTTTTCATCCAGAATAAAGATTTAGTGTACATGAATATAAAAATAGCTTTATATAAATATTATATGTAAGCATAATACTGTATTTATAGAACTAGTAAGAATATATAGACCCAGTTTATTAATGTAGGCTACACTCAGAAAAAAATTTTATTTGCTTTGTTTAAACTACACATTTAAAATGAGCTAAAAAAAAAAACACAATTCTGTTCACAATTCAAATTTTTTTTTTTTTCTGACAACTTAGTTGGTTAATGTTCAATCCACTTTAGGGCTAAGCGATATGGCAGAAACGTTAGCGTGCTTTTATTTTTACATTTGGAACAATATGATGCATTTTTTATATAATTTGTTATTGCTTTCAGTTCACAAGTTCACACTCACAGATATTTGACTGAATATAATATGCATATTTGCCGTGCTATCCAGGGAGAGGGCTCTGAGCTCGGGAAAACACCCTAACTCATGTTATTCCCTTTATCAGGATGAAGAGAGAGATTGGGTTCGAGCGCAGTGTCTAGCCCGGCTCCAGAACACTCCCCCTCAAATTTAAGTAGGTAACAGGTTTAATAGTGTGGAGTTGGGGTGGTGGAGGGAAGCTGAAGTCGAGAGGTCTCTGAGCTTGGGAAGACACCCTAACTCGTGTTATTCCCTTTTACAGGATAGAGAGAGATTGGGTTCGAGTGCAGTGTCTAGTCTGGCTCCAGAACACTCCCCCTCAAATTTAAATAGGTAATGGGTTTAATAGTGTGGAGTTGGGGTGGTGGAGGGAAGCTGAAGTCAAGAGGGCTCTGAGCTTGGGAAGACACCCTAACTCATGTTATTCCCCTTATCAGGATAGAGAGAGATTGGGTTCGAGTGCAGTGTCTAGTCTGGCTCCAGAACACTCCCGCTCATATTTAAGTAGGTAATGGGTTTAATAGTGTGGAGTTGGGGTGGTGAAGGCATGCTGAAGTCAAGAGGGCTCTGATCTCAGGACGACACCTTAACTCATGTTATTCGCCTTATCAGGATAGAGAGAGATTGGGTCTGAGCGCAATGTCTAGCCCGGCTCCAGAATGCTCCCCCCTCAGATTCAAATAGGTATTAGGTTTAATAGTGTTAGGTTGGGGTGGTGGAGAGATACTGAAATCAAGAGAAAACCATGTGTTTGACTATTTATAGAGGTTTGCACTTGAGCTGATTGGATAATAAAATGATTGTGTGTGATGTATTAGCCTCATCAAAGACTGATCGTGCTCCTCCCAAAATTTGTTTATAAAACATCACCTATCAGCCCAACAATGACTGATGCAACAAAAATTAGACGGTTCATTAAATTACCATTTAAATTATTGTTTATTAACAAAAAC